TGCTTTTTGAGTAGACTAAGATGTCATCAATGAACACGATAACAAATTGATCCAAAAACTCTCTGAAGACCCTGTTCATCAGATCCATAAAGATTGTCGGGGCGTTGGTTAGCCCAAATGGCATGACCAGGAACTCATAGTGTCCGTACCTGGTTCGAAAGGCCGTTTTGAGGATGTCTTTTGTTCTTATCTTCACCTGATGGTAACCTGATCGCATGTCTATTTTAGAGAAGACCTGTGCACCCTGCAGCTGATCGAAGAGGTCATCAATCCTAGGAAGGGAATATTTGTTCTTAATTGTAACCTTGTTCAATCCTTTGTAATAAATACACAGTCTCAATGTTCCATCTCTCTTCCTGGCAAAAGTGACTCCGGCACCCCAATGGGACACACTGTGTATAATAAAACCATTATTTTGCAATTCAGTGATCTGTTTCCTCAGCTCTTCCATCTCAATGCAGTTCATGCGGTAACGAGCAACCGAAATGGCTTGAGTGCCTAGCTGTAGGTCTATAGTGAACTCGACTTCCATGTCTACTGGTAGTTCGGGTAGTTCATCCGGAAACACATCTGGAAAGTCTCGGACTACCGAAATCTCTTGGATACAAATTTCCTTCTTGGGCTTGCCTAGTTAGAGAAAACAGCAAGATTAAGGTACTAGAAAATTAAGGAAACTTGCCATCAAGGAATAAGTACTAAATGATTTTATTAATTTGTAAATAGCTCCTCATTGGGAGGATTAAATACAACCTTCTTGTTAAAGTAATCTATGGTGGCGTGATGCACCGCTAGCCAATCCATTCCTAAGATTACATCAAAATCCCCCGTGTCTAACCCTATCAGGTCTACACTCAGTTTCCTATTTGCTATCTCCACGGCACAAGCCCTGCAGACAACTTCCCCTAATAGTGTTTCACTCCCAGCAGTAGACACAAACAATATTAAATCAAGTTTATCAGGTGATACATTAAGTTTGGATGTAAAAATATGTGAAATAAATGAATGCAATGCACCAGTGTCAAATAAAATATGAGTAATATGGTCACAGATAGTGTACATACCATGTACCACGTCCGGGTCGGCGTCGGCATCCTGCTGGGTAAGGTTATAAACCCTGCCCTGAAAAGGAGGTCTTCTTTGGTTCTGGTTTCTTGGACACTCTCTCGCATAGTGCTAGGCACTACCACATATGCAACAGGTGTTGTTGAGGTGATAGCATGGTCGGTCCCTGTGATTTCTGCCACAGTGCTGGCAGATCTTTCCATGTGCTACCCCTAGAGCCTGAGGAGGGGCCTGGATCACTGGTCTAGGCATCTTATTTGGTTGGACCGGCGCAGTAGGTGCTGGTCTGCGGGGTGGAGCTGAGGGTCGGTGACTCCCTGCTGACTGAGGACGGGTGTTGAAACTCCTCTCTACAATCTGCACCTTTGCTAGAACGGCTGAGTATGTCTTGAGCTCCAGTACCAATAAGTGTTGCTTGATCTCTGGGCGGAGGCCCCACTGGAATCTCCTGGCCTTCCTGCCCTCATCCATCAATGTCTCCGGAGAATATCGGCCCAGCTCTAAGAACTTACGAGCATATTCCGATACCGTTATGTTTTCCTGGACCAGCTGAACAAACTCCATCTCCTTCAAGTGTCGGATGTGCTCAAGGAGATACTCCACATGGAAGGCCGCTAAGAACTGCTCCCAAGTGGCTGGTATAGGCAGGATGGTCTGCTTGAGCTCCCACCAACGACCTGTTTCCCCTACCAGCATGTAAGAAGCATGGGCAGCTCTTTACTCAGGAACCACTTCCAAGGTTTTGAAAGCTCTTTCAGTCTCTGCCAACCACTACTAGGCATCTTCGAAAGAGGATCCCCCTACAAAAGTGGAAGGGTTCAGTCTCCTGTACCTCTCTATGTAGCCTAGGTCGATCAAGGAAGGAGCTGGGTCCCGTGGAAGAGGGACTAGGCCCGGCTGGGGATAGACTGGGGGACCCTGTGGTGGCACATGATGATATAATGGGGGCATTGGATTGTACTGTGGCAGTGCCAGGCAGTATAGTGGCTGGGGCACCGGTTCACACTACGGCGGTGGTGCCGGGTGGTACTGTGGTGGAGCAGGCTCGTGCCGGGGTGGCTGGGGATCCGCTTGCTGTAACGGTGGCTCAACCTGTGGTAGTGGGGGAGGATCGGGTAACTCCCTTCTCTCCTCTCGACCTTACTGGGCGACCATGATCCTTTCCAGCATCTCAAATATTCTGTCCACATCTTCCCGAAGCGAATCATCCCGAGCTGCTCGGTTTAGTGGGGGTCTTCCTCTCCTCATTTCTCTGCACCTGCATTTCACAAGGAAGAGTTGAGTAACGATTTATCGGTGGGTATTTCTCTAACCATTATTGTGTAAGGAATGAGTCCGAGGAATGCGGCTCTGATACCAACTGTAATTACCCCGAAATAAAAATGAAGATGTATATATTAAAAATTCTAAGTGCGGAAGCGAAATAAAAATTCTGATTTACATCCCTTATTCAATAACCATAAACGTATTCAACGTATGAAAGAATAAGCTAATTAAAAAAAATACTCGAAATGAAAACTATAAATAGAACTATAAAATCTTTAGGTGTCTAATTCGCCGTCTTCCTGCGGAATAGGCTCGGGAACCACGTCTTCCTGATCTGGAATGGTTAAGTAAGGAATGAGCTACACTAGCCCAGTAAAGATATCACACTATCTCACTGCCACATAAGTAAAGGTTGGTAGAAAACAAAAATGACCAATGGAGCATAATTTATAATAAAATCATTTATTAATAATAAAAACCTCTACTGTCCACTTACCTCGGTAAGATTCGTGAAAATAACATATGAAAGCAACAACATTATAACCATCATAAAATCATATACACTTTGTAACGTAACACATGTTATACTTTTGTACTTCAATAATCAGACAACAAATTTTCTCTTTTACCAGCCTACTAGTATCCATGGGGATCCATAGGGGGTCCCCGCTACACGTGAATCATTAACATTAATAACTTAATTCCAGGGTCGTCTCCATACCCCGTCCGGTATGGGCACCAAATCATAAAGTCTCCATACCCCGTCCGGTACGAGAGACCACGTTCCCGGTAGGGTTCTCTACGGATCCGGTCCGTCCACCATCTCCCAGGATATCTAGTTAGGCTGTCGACATTATCCATTTATCAATTCACATACATTTTTTCATTTTTCTTGGTCTCAATTATCCAATCATACACAAACACGTAAACCAATAATGAACACAAAACAAAACAATACAATATCAGGTTCACCATAATTCAAACCATAATAAAAGAAACTATGATTCATTCATATGAAACTATAAAATAAACACATCAGATACCATACTGCATTTAAAACTATAAAATAGATCAAACAACAACTGACCGATAAATACACCAGATTCGGGCTCCATAAACAACCTTAAGCAATTATACACATCCATTAATTTCACGAATATCGTTTTATCATTTATTGAACTTTAATACCATGATAGAAAATAGGGTGAGAAATCCTTACTTGTTTCGGAGTCTGAAATCGGCTTTACACTGCGCCTACGGGCAGTCCCTAGATTCCCTTAATTTTCTCCCAGGAACTGAAACACGTTTTCGGTAACTGCACGTGTCCCCAAAAACAAAATTAGACCCAGGGCCGTTTTGGCCAATATCGGAATTCCGGTACAATGGCTTCACCGTGCTTCGACGACGGCACAACGGTATTTTCCGGATTCAGCATCGAAAAAACGAGCCAAGATGAGAAAATTTACCTCATTTGGCGGTCGAAAAATCCTCTTGTGCGGCGGTAGGTGGTGGCAGCCGGCTCCTCCGGTGACTGGTTTTTCTTCTCCGGCGAAGGTACTGGCGGCTAGGGTTTGGGGTTGGGTGTGGGTGAGGTTATTTATAACATTCCTCTTTTAATCTTAGCCGTCCATCATGATTTAATCTGGACCATCCGATCGCAATTAAAATGGAAATAAATCTGGGCCTTCCGTGCGCGTGAGATACGGGCCGTCCGTACGCGTGAGATCTGGACTGTTCGATTGCGTGCACGCGGGTTGCCCTCGTGGCTCCGTCCCGTGTGGCCTCCCACGTCAGCTTCCTTGCCACGCGGCGTGTTTTGGTTGGTCGGGGCTGCTGATTGGTCTGCTGACGTGGCACAACTTTTTTAAATTACGTTTTGACCCCCAGTTTTCGATTTTTTTTTTCAAAAACACCTCTAGAATTCAAATTTTTAGCATTTTTTTTCCAAAATCAATTTCAATTAAATTCTAACAATAATTTTACTATATTTTATTATTATTATTATTATTTTTATTTTTATTAAATTAAATTAAAATTTTATAAATTAAATATTAAAATAAAATAAAATAAAACAAAAATGTTTAATAAAAATTAAAATAAATTAAAAATTAAAAATACAAAATTTGGGTGTTACACCGTGGAGGAAAAAAAAAAAAAGAAAACTGACAAACAAAATTTGAAGCGCAATATTATACATTTCTACCTTTTGAGGTTTCAATTTATTTTAACAGTATCCTTTTGTTCTTCCCTCATTTCTCTGCAGAAAATTAACTTGTAGAGCTTTTAAAACCTTCTTTTTTTTTTCACCAAGCGGACGCAGAGGAATCTTCAATTTGAAGGTAATCCTTTCAAATTATTCAAGCTTCATTCTTTGGATTCCTGCATTGTCACATCAACCACTGCCTTAGTTTATCTCGTCCTTGCTTTGGATGTTTCTTTTAGTCATCTGCAAGATTGACATTTGTGGATCTGGCTAACAATTAGGGTTCTTTTTAGATGAATAGTCTTTGTTGCTGCTGATTTTTCAGTGAGCTAGTGTTTTGATTTCTGGGTTTGTTCTTTGATGTCTGAAATCAACATTTGAGCTTGAAAGTTGGAA